CCGATCGCCAAGAAGTCGGATGCGCTGCTGGAGTTCATGCAGTGGCTGGCGGTGGCTGAGCGACGGACAAAGAAGTCGGTGTTGATTCTGCGATCTGACCGGGGAGGGGAGTTCCTTGGGAAGCAGTTCATCGACTTCGTGTACAGCAAGGGGATCGTCCACGACCTGACCTGCCCCCTACACCCCGCAGCAGAACGGCATGGCGGAGCGAGAGATGAGGACGGTGGTGGAGTCAGTGCGGACTATGCTACTGCACATGGGCGTGCAACACCACTAGTGGCACCTCGCTCTGCGGCAGGCCTTCTGGGTCCGCAACTGCCTGGAGAGGTCAACGCTACAGCCGGGGACGACGCCACACCTGCTGCTGACCGGGAAGAAGCCCGACTTGTCAATGGCACCGGTGCGGGGCTGCATGGCGCAGTTCTTGGTTCCCGAGCAGCAACGTGGTGGGAAATTGAAGCCGAAGGCCAGGTGGGGCCTTCACTTCGGCGTGTCAGAGGAGAGTAAGGGCTGGGAGCTCCTCGACATCGCTGACAACCGGGTGGTTGTTAAAGCTAGGAATATGGAAGCCATGGCTAGGGAGAGAGAAGGTAGCAAGAGAATTGTATTAGGAAAGAAGTGTCGAGATACAAGTCTAGAAAGGAATTGGAAACCCTAATTGAACTTAGGGTGTGTTCAGTTTGTACTAAAGCTACGAAATGAACCTAAATTGAACCTGGAAGCGTAACTCGCTCTAAGCATGGTGGAATGATAAGAGAACACCAAAATAAAGGCCAGAGCGAGCTCTAGCCTACTCCAACAGTGGTCACCACGTCGAACGTGGTGTTCTACGAGAATATGTTGCTGGAGGTGTGGAAGTCGGAGCACGGGCCTGCCTCGGGACGGACGCCGACCACCCCGCCAACAGACACCTCGACGACGACACTCCCTTTGCTCGCCAAGGTCGGTGAGCCTACTGCAGAGGACGTCGAGGACGTCCCCTCTCCCTTCCCCTCCCCTGTCCATCCTGCCCCTCCCCTTGAGGCCGACTTGCGTGGGTCGCCTCCGGTGTCGACCTCCGGCGATGAGGGGAGAAGTGGGGCATCGCCTGTCGCGCCGACCAAGAGCATTGCCGGTGGCCGACGTGACGTCCAGCAAGTCGACGTGAGAGTGAAGTCGACACCAGCAGGGGAGGTGCAGGCCAAGGAAGTGCAGCCGATTGTAGTGAAGTCGGCAAAGGGAGCAGGCAGTAGCGAAGCCGACCACAGAGCAGTCGGCGACCAGACAGTCGGCAAGGGAGCCGATCACAGGGAGAAGTCGGCAGGGAAGCCGACCGAGGTGCGGCAAAATGCTGAGGGCAGCGACGCCGGTGATGAAGGAGGGGACGCCGAGCAGTGCACTGACAGCGACGTGGTGGAGGTCCAGTCTGGACCACGGCAGTCAAGCCGAATTCGGAGGCTTCCCGACTTCTACGTACCGGCTGCTTTCACTACGGCGTACGACGACCTGCTGTATGACGACGCCGAGGAGGATGAGGAGCTGCCGGAGCTCGACCCCGACATGCACGCCGACCCCGAGCACCGCTGGGACATCTCGACGATGATGGTGAAGGAGGCGTTGGCGAGCTGGAAGGGCAAGGCGGTGAAGGCCGCCATAGAGGAGGAGATCCGCAGCCTCATCGGCATGGGGACGTGGGAGCTGGTCGAACGCCCGCCGGGAGTGAAGATCATGAAGAACCGGTGGGTGTTGACGAGAAAGTACCACATCGACGACACCGTCGAGCGCGAGAAGGCAAGGCCGGTCGTGAAGGGCTTCACTTAGGTGTATGGCGCCGACTACGACGAGACGTACGCGCCGGTGAGCAGCTACGTCACACTGAGGATCTTCCTCAGCATCGTCACCGTCCTCAACCTCAACCTGATGCAGCTCGGCATGAAGAACGCCTTCCTGCAGAGCAAGCTCGACCGGGTGCTGTACATGTATCAGCCGGACTACTTCAACGACGGGACCGGATGTGCAAGCTGCTGAAGAGCCTCTACGGGCTGAAGCAGTTGCCGCTGTTGTGGTACAAGGGTCTCAACGACGTGCTGGTCGGCGCCGGCTAGAAGAAGAGCCAAGTCGACACGGCACTCTACTTCAAGGTCGGTGACGACAAGGTGGCCTGCTGGGTGCTGGTCTACGTTGACGACTTGCTTGCTGCTAGCAGTAGTGCCGAGATGATGAGGGAGCTGAAGGAGCCGCTGGAGGCCGCCTTCAAGCTGCATGAGATCTTGCCGGTGCAGAAGTACCTCGGGTTGGAGATCGTGCGCGACAGGCCAGCAAGGAAGGTGTGGCTTCACGAGCAGGGCTACGCCGACAAGCTGTGTAGACGGTTCCTCGACGAGGAGAAGACCGGGCGCACCCTGAAGACGCCGGTCTCGGTAGGTGCCTACGCCGAGCTGGTGTTCAGCGACGAGGAGGCGCAGGAGCGCCAGGAGGAGGAGGAGTACCGGTAGAAGGTCGGCTCGCTGCAGTTCGCGGCGATGACGACGAGGCCGGACATCGCCTTCACCTGCAGCAAGCTGGGGAGCGGCCTCACGGTGAGGAACGACCAGCAGTTGGCGCGAGGTCGACTGCTGCCTCGCCTACCTCGCCAACTCCCGTGACACCGCGCTGGAGTTCGGCGGTGGACCTGAGTCGCTGGAGCTGGTCGGCTACGTGGACGCCGACGACGCCGGTGACAAGCAGAAGAGGACGAGCACGGGCGGCTATGTGTTCGTCTATGGAGGGGCCGTGGTCTCCAGGTCGAGCCAGCGCATCAAGTGCGCGACGTTGTCGTCCACCGAGTCGGAGTACGTGGCGGCCACCGAAGCCGGCAAGGAGGGACGCCACCTTCGCTTCCTTCTTGCGGAGTTCCGGCAGCTAGATGTCGGGAAGCCAACCGTCCTTCGGGTGGACAACAAGTCGGCCATCACGGTCGCCGAGGGCATGGGGTTGACGGGCAACCTCAAGCACATGGAACGGCGACAGGCCTGGCTACAACACATGGTGAAGCGCAGGAAGTTTCGCTGAAGTACATCCCGACCGCTCAGCAGCCGGCCGACTTCCTGACGAAGGCGCTGCACTATCCAGCCTTCAACCAGTGCTCCGTCACAATTGGCCAGGTTGCGCTTGGCCGACGTGGGCGGCGGCGACGACGACGTGCAGCAGTAGGTGCCATGCCCTCTTGCATGGCTGGTGCGGTGACCGGCGTGCTGTGTGTTGGGTGCACGCCGACGGGCTATTCTCGGAGCTGTACTGCCGTGTGTGGGCTGGAGGCCCAAGCGTGAACACGGCAGGGGAGTGTCAACGGGAGTTGTGTGTTGGCCCCGTCCTCGCTTGGGCGGAGCCAACTTCGTGGGTGTGTGGGAGGTGCAGCCGACCTGCAGCAGTAGGCGCCAACTTGGGAGGGCGCCGACTTCAGGAGGTCGACTTGGGAGGTCGACCTGACAGGGCGTCAACTTGGTGACGCCGACCTGGTGAAGCCGACTTGGTGTGGTCGGCTGACAGCAGGGTTGGTCGACCTGGAATTGGTTGACCAGGGGTGTGGTCGAATTTGTCTGGTCAACCAGGTGGTGGTCGTCGACCTGGGTGGACGACGGGCACAAAGAAGAGAGGTGCCGACTTGGGGGGCGCCGACCTAGGTAGTGGCCGACTTGGAGAAGTCGGCTGGTGGTCATCGACTTGGGGAGTCGACGAGCACATACAACTTCTGGTCAACTTTCCCCGAAGAAGTCGACGCCGACCTGGTGGTTTCCAGGTCGACCAAGTTACCCGGGCGACGAAGTTCTGCGGAGGCACGCAACAGTCACCCAGGTGTTAGTGGCGAGGTCGACCTCAATGTGGTATCCCTAGGTCGACGTGGCTGATCAGATGCAGTCGTCAGCGCCAGGGTGATTTGGTGTGTGGGCTGTGCAGGTGACACGGCACGGAGCGCCAATCATCTGCGAGCACCTGCGAAGCAGGTGCGCTGCTGTTCTGCGAATGCGACGTTGGCACGCCGTCGACAGTGTTGGCAAGCCGCAACTTTGTACTGCTGGAGCGCGGTCGACCAAGTCGTGCTGGCAGTAGACCTGCTTGCATGCTAGTTCTGATGTAGTTTTGTCTTGCCAACTTTATTGTATCATTCTTCTGAACTTTGTTCTCAACTTTTGCTAGTGAAACTCTTGCAGTTTTACCCTGTGAATGCACAAGTGCTAGAGAACGACTAAGGGAACCAGGCTGGTGGGGCAGCCGTGGTGGTGAGGCGGCCCTGCCTGAACTTCTTCTTGGCTGCATGGGTGGCTAACATGCGAAGGAATTGTAGCGTGTCAGCTGCCATTGCCCCATAGGTCTCCACTGCAAGCCTGAAGAAGCCAGCGTAGCTGGGGCGCCCTTCATACTCTCAGTGTTTCCTTCGTGATGCCTCTTCCACGGCCCACCCCGGCGGCCGGCGCGCTCTAGTGTCCCTGTTTGCAGGACCGGGTCAGTGACGGTGACATCTGTCACCCATGTTTCCCCCGATTCCTCATCCTGGATAGCCAGGTCCGCCCGTTTCCTGAGGACTGGCGGCGAGAATGCGGTAGTCTCATGGAAGACTTCGTAGCCCTCCTCGTTCGCCATGCGCAGCGCCGCATAGACAAGCGCATTGTGGGTCCTAACCGCATCCCCTCCATCCTGGCAACGCAGCAGGTGCTTCGGTAAACTCTTGTCTAGGATCGAGGAGTTGCTTCGCCTGCATGGGCACACCTCAGCGACCGGGAGCTCCATACCTAGGCGGAGGCCCAGGGCCAACGAGAACTGACCAGGGGAAATGCTAAGGTCAGCTCTCGTCGGCACTGCATGGAGCCAATCACCCGCTCCCGCTCCCTTCAGATTGATGAGTCGAATCGCGTGGCCCCTGCTGGCACCGGGCCGGTCTACAACTGTATCACCCAGGAGGTCCACCGCCCGCTGCTGGTTAATGCACTTAGACAAGCGCAGCTGTAAACTACCCGTGCCCGTACCCTCCGTCCTGTACTGACTCAGTGCTGAATGTGCCACGGCAGGGAGACTCGCTTCAATGGCAGTCAGGGGGTTACTATCTGGGGGCGGTGGAGACCATTCGTGGGAGAGGAGGTTTGTGGCTCGGTAGAGTAGGCAGTTCGAGGGCAGGTTCAGCTGCTGCAGAAGGGAATGGGCGGCTGTAACCGAGGCGATGTAGGCGGCAGGCGCCTCCGAGCTTGGGTCGATGATTCCCAAGCCGCCCATCCTGACTGGTAACGTCGCCTGTCTCCAGAGTAGGCTTTGCTCCAGCTCCGACGTGGGGATGCGGAGCTTCGCCGCTGTGAGTGCCGCTCCCACCAAGCTCTCGCTCCACCCCCGCCATTCCCCGATACCAAGGGCAGATGCCGGTGTCGTACGGAGCATGTACGAAATCCGGCGGGAGATACTGCGTGATAGGATCAGTAGCGCGTGCTGCGGGTTGAGCTGCGTGATGGGAGGGAGTGGTGTTGCCGCATCTTCCAGCGACGCCCGTACTAGATCTGTGCAGTAATTGCTAGTACCAATAGGGCTGCCGAGCACCTTTATCCCTCCCTGGTTGGCCACCAATCCTTTCGGTAGTCCGTCATTGTCTCCTCCCTCTGAGGGGGTCCACGCCGACGACTTGGCAAAGTTGCAGCGAAGCCCCAGCTCCGCCAGTTTGCCTGAGATCGAGTTGAACGCTAGGCATGCTGCTTCGGGCGGGCCGACCACAGTGATGTCGTCGGCGTAGGCCATGATGGCGACTTCCGGCACAGACGCGGCGACGCCGAGGAGGGCGGGTTGAATGGCCGCTGCGAAGAGGAGTGGTCCGAGGGGGTCGCTCTGTCGCACGCCCCTGGTACTCAAGATGTGATCAGTGCCGAGTCGGGGGTCGACGAGCAGGCGAGAGGGGCCATCGTAGAGGTTTCGAACCAGCGGGAGGAGCGGGCTTAGGTTAGACCATTGCAGCGCCCCGAGGAAGGCCTGTCGTTCTACACTATTGAACGCATTCTCAACGTCCAACTGCAGAGCGATCCTGGTCTTATCCTCTCGAAGCAAGGCACGAACTGCATGGATGACGCACTCCGCTCCTCCTGGCACCGCAACACCTAGCTGGACTGGTAGAAAAAATTCCCTAATTTTGGGGCCGAGAGTCTGTAGAGCCACTTTTGCAACTACACGCAGTATAGCTTCGCCAATGGCGATCGGCCTGACCCCGCCGTCAGGCTTCTGTAGTGCTATAAGGCACGAAGGCAGCAGCAGGTTTCGAACGTGTTGGGGCTGGAAGGCACAGAGCAGGTTGTTGACTACTTTGGCGAAGAGCAGGAGCAGCTCTTCATTGGCTAAAGCCGGGTCGCGCATATGCTCAAAACATGTGCCGGATGGGCCTGCCCCCACTCCTTTCGGGCACCTCGCCAGGGCTTCGCGAAGTGCATCCAGCGGGACGGCGAGTTCGGACTGTGTGATTCCGGTTACCCACGCAGGGGTTTGTGTCCCAGCCGCAGGGTGTTTGCCTTGCAGGGCCTCCAGGGTTGCCGAGGTGGGTTCCGCGAGTGGACTGGTTCGCAGTGCCGACACTGCTTTCGCAATGTTACCTTTTTTCATCAAACCCTCCGCTCGTGCACAAACCCCCTCCTCGTCATCTTGGTGTCGTATCGGGCCCTCTGTGGCGGGGATTACCCCTGCCTCCTCAAAGAGCTCTTCCCACTCCCCACGCTGGAACTTGTGCAGGCGCGCTTCAATTATCGCCCAGCGGCTTCCAGTGACTGGTTCCAATGCTGGTCTGAGGGTGAGCCTCGGGAGGAAGTGCAGTATCGTCCAACCACCTGGACAAGTGGGATATTTCTGCAGCCTGTATAGTGGGGCCAGCAGGCACAAGCAGTAGCGGTCCAGTAGCTGAGGTGGGAGATGGCGCACAAGGAACGGTTGGTCTCCTCTCTGGAGGAGGTCCACGTTCCATTCCCCTGCCATCTGCCAAACCCCATCCGTCTCTGCCAGGTCTGATGGTGACGGGACGTCTGTGTCATCCGTGGCAGCCTCTCCTGCCTCGTCTGGAATCTGTGTGGTAGGAGCAGCCGCCTCTCTCCCTCTCCCGGCCTGGTTAATCCTCCCAGAAGCTGGCTCCTCATCCAGCGAGATTTCTTCGGATTCAGCCTCCTCCTCGCCAATAAACTCTGGGTCCGCCGCGTTATTTTCCAAACCCTCCTGATCCTCATTCGCTGGTGCATCCATAGCCATAGGTTTGGGTCAGTTGTGACGTTCCCGCCAAGGGCCGGATCTCACAGGAATATCCGTTCTGCCTCGCCGGTTACGCCCTCCCCTTCCCCCTCTGAGGCCTCCGCGCATCCCCCCTCGTCGTCCCCGTGCTGCTCCGCCCACGTTTGCCGTCACGCCGCCAGCTGCGTTACCAGGCGCGACCACACCTCCACGTCCCGCCGGCATCCAAGGAGTACGGCCGCCGCGCGGCGGTCCCCAGGATATCTGACCAAGACGGGCGGATCGTCTCGTTCCCTGCGCGGCCACCGTCGCCGCGTCAGATCCGCCCGCCATCGCCGGTCCAGCTGGCATCGGTGCCGTTACTTCAGTCTGGCTCGGCTGCGGCTCCGTCGCATCCGCCGGTGGCTGTTCCTCTCTCTCTCTCTCTCTCTCTCTCTCTCTCTCTCTCTCTCTCTCTCTCTCTCTCTCTCTCTCTCTCTCTAATGGTCCTTGTATTGATATGTCAAAGAGGTACACACATGCAAGTATAGAGCCTAGAACAAGGGATTTACTACTAGCCAGCCAGACCCCATTGTGCCTATCTACACCTCCATGAGAGGTTCCAACACAACACAACAATCCCCAAGGTGAAGCTCGGACCGGACCCCTCCCACCGGGGGGTTCTCTGCTACGGCCGCCTGGCAGGTCTTAATGATGTATCCGACGGACTGTGCCCGTTGTAGCGCCACCGACCAGCGTTGCCTGAAGAGGTGGAGGAACCTACCTCTCTCTCTCTCTCTCTCTCTCTCTCTCTCTCTCTCTCTCTCTCTCTCTCTCTCTCTCTCTCTCTCTCTCTCTCAAGCGGTCCTTCATTAATAGTATAAAGGGGTACAAGCCATACATGACAAACCAGCAAAGCTATCCCCTAGCATACCGTCTAGATAACATGCAGGCCAGCAAGAACAGATGCAAGCAAGTATCAACATATAACAGATGCAAGCAAGTATCAACATCTCTCTCTCTCTCTCTCTCTCTCTCTCTCTCTCTCTCTCTCTCTCTCTCTCTCTCTCTCTCAAGCAGTCCTTCATTGATAGCAGCAGGATACAGGCCAAGCATGGACGAAACAGCACAGCTAGCCTCTAGCTTATGTTGCCTATGTGCTTAGCCCTTATAACAAGCAGCGGGGGTATCACCAAACACAAGGACAGAAGCTACTACCAGCCGGTGGCATGCCAGCAAGTGGGCCAAAGCCGCCTAGTGCCGTGGCTGCCCTCGAGTCCCACCCCTCACACGTCTAGGGGCGGGCCCCAGTCCAAGTCATCCTCAATGACTTGGCACAGGTCCCCCAGGTGGGGCTCCCATGGGTCACCCGTTGCCTGTGGGTAGGCACTCTCTGTGGCCCGGTTAGACTTAGCCAGGAAAGTGTTCGCCTGGCTCCTCTGCAGCGCTACCGACCAGCGCTGGTGGTAGTGAGCTGTGAGTTTGGAGGCGACGGTGGTAAGCCTCCCCTGCCTAAACTTATTTTTAACTGCCTGTCTACCCAAGAGCCGTAGGAACCTTTGTGTGTCGCGTGCCAGGGCTCCATATGTTTCCACCGCCAGCCCAAACACCCCCACAAAATCCGGCCGCCCCTCATATAATCCCCTTTTCCCTCTTGTTGCGTCCTCTGCCGCCCAGCCTAGCGGTTTTACTGCCCTGGTGTCTCGGCGCTGCAGGACGGGGTCGGTCATCGTGACGTCCGTCGCATACGTCTCGATGGACTCCCTGTCCTTGATGGCCAGGTCTCTCTCTCTCTCTCTCTCTCTCTCTCTCTCTCTCTCTCTCTCTCTCTCTCTCTCTCTCTCTCTCTCTCTCGCTAATGGTCCGTGCATTGATATATCGAAGGGGTACAAACATGCAAGGTATAGATGCTAGGGATGGAAACAAACAAGCAAAGAACTATCTAGCTGCACACCTATCTACACCTCCATGAGAGGCTCTAGAACTGCGCAGCTGTCCCCAAGGTGGAACTCGGACTGCACCCTCCCCCACGGGGGAATTTTCAGCTACTGCCATTTGACTGGACTTAATAAGGTAACCAGCTGACTGTTCTCTCTCTCTCTCTCTCTCTCTCTCTCTCTCTCTCTCTCTCTCTCTCTCTCTCTCGCTCTCTCTCTCTCCTGTCCCTTTTTTGTGCTTGAATTGACTCTCTCCCCTGTGCAACATTATCGTGTTGAAACATATCAGCTCTCTCTCTGCCCCCCACCTACTTGGAGGCTCCGGCAACGTTGCAAAATGGGACTTCTAGAAGGTTGAACCACTGCCTTCCGCCTCTCACTCCCCCTGGTCCAGCGCTTCTCCGCCAATGGATGCACGTACATTGTAGCTACACCCTGCAAGAGATATGCCGCCTTCTTTGCCAGCCACCGGTGAATTTCAGCGGGCTCGTTCAGTAGCTTGTCCACTCAGTATATGGCCGTACAAACGGGGAACGGGCTTTTGCTAGCCCTCAGCCCATAACTTATAATACTGAGGTGGCCTAGATCCAGCCCGAACTTGGCCCTTTATGTGTCAGGGTTAAGTACAACTGCAACAGTTAGATTCAGGGCTAGTGTTTACTTACACATGAACTTAAACACTAACAGACATGCATGGCATGTATTGAAATCACTCGAGGAGCAAGGAGGGTTTTTTTTTTTTTTTTTTCTAAGGAAGTTACATGACTCACTTAGGGAGCAAAGAGGAAGGTTTGGTTTTCGTTAGTCACTTAGGGAGCGAGAAGGAGGGTTGTTTTTTTTCCAAGTCACGTAAGCCACTCAGGGAGAGGAGAGGGGGTTAGGCTCTTTTCTAAAATAAACTCAGTCACCTAGAGAGAGAGGAGGGGGGTTGGGTTTCTCTCTAAGGAAATGACGTCAATCACTCAGCGATAGAGGGAGGGGGTTTAGTTTTTTACAAAGACCAGTTAGTCATTTAAAAGGAGAGGACGGGGGTTGCGGGTAAAATTTTCTAGGTTACGTTTGAAGGTCGAGGGGGAGGGGGGGAGGGAGAGAGGGGAGGGGGAGGTTATAAATGTATATGGGAAATCCGGGCTTGGTTCATGATTAGTCCTTAACGAATCTCAGCTATTTTCAAAACCAAGCCATAACGAATCATGGCTCCCCTCGAACCCAACCCTGGAAATGTCTTACTTGAGCTGAAGCCAACATTGAATGGTACTGGTTAAAAGGAAAAATATCATTGTAGCAACAGCCCTGGTCAAGGCAAATTTTGGGTCCACCAGACCCAGGCATCCTTTCCTTCCTTGGGAGACAAGCTAGGTACATGCTCTACTGGATAGATTTGTTCTCCTCTGACTCCTGAAACGAAATTGTGGCACAACTCTTCATGTGTCGAGTACACTGCGCTTGGAACATCAGTACCGGTAGTGCATAGCAGCTGAACACTGCCACCCTAGCCGTTGTTGTTAAATACTATATTGCCTATTTCAACATCTCCTCTTTTATCATCTCGTAAGCCCTTCCCCAGGAAGGATCGGCGTATCTGTTTAACGTTATCTATACACCAAGGACTCGACACGACTTTTCTTGTGTTGACCACTTGAAGCACAGGTCTGACAGGGTCAGCCTTCCTCCGTTACGTCCCAGTCGCTCCACAATATACTTCACGCAGTTTACCTACAGCATCAGCTGGTTGTCGAAGGACTCCTGCAGCGTCACCAATTCGTGCGGAGGTAGGGCGCCAATGGGCACCCTTGTCTCACACCCCTGTTAATTTCCACCTTATTACTCATCTAGCCATTGACCACAATTTTTGTCCCCACCCACCTCTGGTCCACCGTACAATATTGTTTGGTACTTCCAGCTCTTCCATCGTCCTAAAAAAGTTGTTCCTCGATATTTATAAGAAGTCTACTACAATCCCACCAGCAACAGCAGCTAGTCCTCCCCCCCACTGTTTGCCGCTTCCACCGCGCCCGCTACCACTGACACAGTATTCGTCCGGCTGCAACCCAGAATGAAACCGTGTTGCTCCTTTGTTAAACCTTCCACTGCACCTTGTGGCCGTAACCTCCACGACAACCTTGTTGTTAGAGGGCCCTACGACAGCAAGGGCCCTCACGATATGCTTGACTAAGCAGGTTTACGACCAAGACTACGAGCTACCCAGCACCGACCCTATGACTTCACGATGGTTGCGTGCTGACGACGAGCGACTACCCCAACTCTAACGTAGTCATTGCTGGGGTGGTGCTAGCTTAGGGAAGTCGTGGGTATGCTTCTTGGGAATTGCGTGGTTGTCTTGGGAGTTATGGGTGGTTCTCTGTGAGTCTCGCCATTTATAGCCATGCTGGGAGAAACGGCGTGCTCGGCATTGACTTCCCTGCTGAGTTGGGTTGGGAAGTTGACGAGGCGCACTCGCTCATCCACACACCACTTTCGTGGGGTTGGGTTACTCCGCAGCGCCACGCAATGTTTGTGAAACTTTCCCGTAGCCTTTATCTATCTTGTGTGTTTGCTTTTGTAATCATCAATGATATTACAATTCTACTTAACCCAATTGCTACTTGAATTCTCACCAAGTCCATGGAGACGAACGCTACTGAAACGCTACCGAGTTGCTGGCGCAACATCGTTCTCATAGCCAAAACTCTCTCGCTATCGCTACGCTCTCTAAGATATATTCCTTCACTTGTACATGACCATGAGTAACGTCATGGGGCGATAGTCCTCCAATTAGCTCGTCAGTCCTTTTTTGTGCTACAACACTGTTACTGCGGTTAAGAGGCACTCTAATATCAATGCCGTCTCCTCAAAAGTTATGACAATCTGCATGCATCACTTTAACTCCCAGCAGATCCCAGTGCAGCAAGAAGAAGTCTGTAGGGAGCCCGTTCTGCCTAGGGCCTTTCGCTTCGGCAAACTAGCTAGCGTCTTCGTGACCTCCGCCTCTGACCACTCAGAGCCTAGCTTGGCCATATCCGCATCTAAGAACCTTGGACTGGCAGCAGAACTTATCTAGTCTATTGCTTCTTCTGGTGCCACATCCTAGAAAGCGGC